CCACAGCTCAGATGAACGAGAAAATGGTCGTTCCAGTTGAGAATGCAGTCTTCTCGGTGCTCTTCAGACAAATCGTAAAATCATTTTTGTCTATACAACAGAAAACGGTGGAAAATTTTCTAGTCCTGGGAGAAAACTGATGTGATTCGGGCAAAGTAACTTGCAACAAAAAGGTGAAAAAATGGTAGCCTTCTCGACTTTGTACGGCCTCACTGGTACAGAAAAATGTTAACAACCTTTTAATCCATGTAATATATCCACGAGGTTCAGTGTTCAATTAAAAGCAAAATCTTAGCACGGTGGGACGTGAAAGATAACAATTCATTTTGAACGCGGGGATTTTTCCATTTTTTCCAAAATGACCCTGTAATACCTGCGGTGTAGTCCTAATCTCTGTGCAATGTAATCCAATGTATCATCAGAAACAGCAGATTCTAACAAAAAGGGATACATATGGAACATAAGCACCCTTTGCACACTAATTTCGTTTGCTGTTGTCCTTATTCCTCTAGGAGTTCTGAATTGAGACACACCCAGTGCTGTAGAAAAGTATACAGAAATTACCTGGTTCCCATCTGATCTGCAGAATCAAAATACACATGAGGAACAGCATGTGAGCTCCACCTTAACCTCGAATCACAGTTTAGTGTCCGTGATTCAGTAATTCTGATCTTTTTATGCTTGTATTATACCGAAGGTGATGACTCATGTGCCAAATATTCTCCTGATAGAAACGTGAGCTGTTGTGTTTGTTGAGGTGATTGTAGAAAGTCATACAGTGCAATTCAAACCATCGATCCAGGAGTTTCATTTACCTCTGACAGTGATTGCTCCCTGTTCGAAATGCATCGAATGAGGTAACCCATCTACATATTCTTAAACAATTAAATCGAAGCTATTTCATTCGTAAAGATGTTTAGCAGGTGATGTTTACTAAGTAAACGCTTTATGGCAATAACTAATTATCCCTTCTCATATCCTGCGATATTTTATGTATGTTCTACCAAATCATGCACTGAATCGCATTAAGTGACAGCCGGTACAACCGCACAGTTAGTGATGATGGTGTAGCTGTTGTTGGTGTCTTCACATCGGCTCGAGGTCTTGTTTTCTTAAATCGGCACCTTGGGCAAACTACTCCAATTTTCTATGATTCTGACATCCATTGGATCAACTGCTTCCTCGTCCCTAAAACTGTCTATTAAATTCTATTTACAATAGAAGAAACTAGGAGATTATTCAGTTTGAAAGAGACGCTCAGACTAGCAGTTGTTTCGTAGTAATGGAATCACATATCGAAAGATAAAAATACTGCATATTTCGACAAGGATTATAATACTGGGTGCGGTGTATTGATTATTCTGCTAGTATCTAAGCTACTATTCGTGTCGCGGTACGATCTCGTCTACTTGTAATTTAAGTTAGTGAAATGATGCGTTATTAGACAGTTGTACGTAAGCATTTGCCTTCAGACGAGAAACCTATAATTTTCTCATGTTGACTGATAAAGCAATGTAATATGCCAGATTGTATTAAAAAATACCCATACTGTCGATCCCTTTTTATACGCATTCGCCAATAAGGCCTGTTCAAACTTCATATTCTGGATTTAAATGTTCATAAAATACAGACTTACCCTCAATAATAATGATATCATCGGTCAGAAACTGATGGGCCTTCTGACATCTACATGGGGTTGCACTAGGAATTGCAATCGTGAATTAGCATGCTGTGTTTACCATGAACATGGGGACTTTGTGATCGATCGGCACCAGAGTAAACCTTATTATCAAGGAAGAGCTACTACTGAGAATCTCCTACAGTTGCACTCATTTGATGCGGTTCATTTGTTTTTAATATACTGGGTGACAATGATCCACTGATTAGGATCGCTATCATAGAGGTCGTTTGCCTAGACCCCGCAACCGCCGTTCATCTCCCCACGCTCCGTATTCCTCAAGCAGTTGTTTCTTGTTCACAACCTTCTACCCAAAAGTTATCTGTACGGTTGTATAATCACGAAATGAAAGAGAAAACTATTATTATTATTAAAATCATACGTCAGATCATTGTAGATATCTTATGCAACTTTTCACTTTACTCTCAGAAGGATTACTGATCATTTCAATTTATATGGCCTACATTTTTTTTTAACTTTAATTGAGAGTTTCTAGGTGACGTTTGGTTTCTACCTTCAATTCGTTGGTAGCATAGTTAAAACGCTAATGCATTCATTGGATGCTTATCGGTCCTATAACTTTTATCTTCCTGTAAGCCCGGGCAGTAATGATACACCGTGTATCAGATCAAATTAATTATCGGAACGACGATGCTTGGGTATTGGTGGATCAGAACCACATCTAAGCAGTGATAACATTGTGTCTTTAAGATTTAATAATGTTATCTTACTGTTTGTGATCAAAATTGGGGTTCGATCAACCACGATTAATTGACTAGAGAACTAGGAGCGCACTTTTCCGGCGAGAACGTCATTTTTTTAGTAAAACTAAAGCAAGTGGCGCAATTCTAGCTAAACTAAATGATGGTCAGTAAACAGAATGATACTGATAAAGTATGTTGAAAATTTTGTTTGAATTAAAAAAACAGAATATTTCAATGTTACAGGTGCACTTCGGATTCGAACCATGTCATCGCCACCCAAGTTCGACTCAATGTCCTATCTACTCTGTCATTGGCAACTCCAAGTACCAGGGGTTGGGTTGCTGGTTATCATCGGTGAACAGTAGGTATTTGGGACAAATGACACACCGCACTGAAAAGCAAGCATACAAAATGCAAGGAAATTTCGTCTGAACGAGGTTGATGCGTAAACTTAATTTCCAAATAGCACTCAAGATGGACAGGAACTGAAGACTTCGGATATCGGACAAAGGTTCAGATCGTGAGCTATCTTCGTATGGAACAAGCAAACATGAGCACATCTCGATGGTTTAAGATTTTTATGATTGCATTGAACTCTTATCACATCAAACAGAGAACTGTTGTGCACCAATTGCACAGAGAAACCTATTAGGTCCGTGTAAAATACTCATGAAATTATACACATAAGTTGGCAAGGGAGAGAGAAATACAGACAAAAGACACTGCATTCTTGCTTAGTAATGGGCTCAAAGAAAAATTTGCGTTCTTATTTGCTAGATATACTATAACTAACATACTGAAGGTGAAAGTAGAACGGTGTACGCATCACCTAGAAGTGTCTTTTTAAGACCCGGTTCAAGAGAAAAACCGAAATTTCCGTAAAATTTTCTGTCCAGAAAAACTAAAAGCAAAACCCCTTTGGGACCGAGTTAATGTTTGTAAACCAAATAGAATCGGTATTTTTGAAGTGGTAAATTTACTTTTTGAATAAATCTAAGAAGAAATATTGCGTCAGAACAAAACGCTTTATCTGTCGGAGCCGTTAAGCATTTGGATCATTACATTCTGTCTGTCTGTCTGTCTTACAGTTATAAGCCGAAAGCAAATAATGTATGAATCAAACGGACATGATCCCTAAGACATGTTTCGCACTAATAACAAGAAACCGCAACTGTTGCATCTTCGCTATTGGAAACGATCAGAAAGACAATAAATTACCATGATTGGTTTCTTTATTCAACCGAAAGATTGGTTGGCATCATAAAAAATATAATAAAGGCACTCGGCCCCTTGTGACCCACATTCGATACTGAACGGTTGTTACACAGTGGTTCACTTATGTGTGCACGCGAAGCGGTGGCACGGTTATTCGCGATTACAGTCACTTCGCCAATAGGTGACCGAGATCTGATCGATCATTTTTACAAACCGATTGCCTCTCATCAATCAACTGGGAGGGTGGAGATTGGCAAAAGGGATAGACGAAAAATATGTGGGTGAGTTTGTAAGCAGAAAGGAAACGTGACGATTAGATTTCAGTCTCCCAAAGGGAAGGAAGGCAGGCTACGATTATTTGAGCTATCATAAACTAACGTGAAATCATACCGTGTAAGAGAACAGTATTCTCACGCACGAGTATAACCCTTTGTATATGTGTCCATGGCGTGATGAGCTACCTAAAGAGTTCAGTCGCATTTGTTTACTGGCGAGTAAGCGTTTGATATATCTTCCTGTAGGTCACATTTACACTGCATAGGGGACATGAATTGCTACCCTAGACTGAGGATTCATTATTTTAAGTATCGTAAGCCTATTAAACCTTTAAAAGTGAACTTGAAAGTGTATCAAGCAAACGATTAAACTAAACAACAGATTAAAAATATGCGCCCAAAAATGGAGAAATTTAACTATGCTTTCATTTGACCACAGTCAATGAATTGGGGGCAATCATGTTGGCCTGGTCGATCAAACAAAACCGAAAGTGGAGTGCGGCGCATCAAACCGTTCAAAATTTCAAGTCCGTTTTCGACCAAGCAATGCAACATTTCCGTCCGTCTGGACCATCTGTTCAATGTGTTCCCTGCGCTTCCTTGCTTTTTAACCATGTGTTGGGACAACGTGCCTGTTTAAAAAGGTAATACCGACTACTACTTTCATTTCATTCGTTTTTAATGATCTGCATACACACACATACACACATGAACCAATCATAAAGTTTGATTAAATGAGGCATAGACGAGGAAGTACTACGCAGTTGATAGCTTAACATTCCATTTTGGTTCACAACTGATAAAAATTTCCTGTTTCGATCGGAGCCAAATGAACTCGGATACTAAATTGAAGGTTGTTGATTTTACGGCAGTACAATCAGAAGTAACCCCCGAACGAATCCATACTTCGGTTCACATATCTTCAACGCGACAAGCCAGGTAACACAAACAGACTGCAATAACATTGCAGCAACTGAAAGAGAGTGGCAAAATTGGCATTAGTGATAAGCACGAGAACATTCGTGTTTACGGACTGGGTCTGTCACTAGAAAATCCTACTGCATTATACACGTGTTTCAAGTATGTTTAATGTGCAAAAATGAAAAAAAGAATCATGAAGTGTTCGAGCTAATTACCCTGAGGCCGAAGAGCTGAACGATATTCATCCAGACTGGACACATCAGATAGCAGTCGAGCTAGAACCGGATCCAATTCGAGGAAGGAAGCCGCGTTCGTTGAACCGGGTATCGTGGAATTTGGCATGAGAGAGGTCGATGGTGATGTTACATCATGTGCTCGGTTCTGTTGAGTTTTGTTAGGAATCCGAGAACCGGACATTTGTTTACTTCTGTGTACAACTGGCTCTGGAACAACTGGACCCGATGTGGAAGTCATTGAGGAAAGACTAGGTGAAGGAGCGGAGCGTGTGGTATTCCCTGAGGATTGCGCCAGATAGGGCGGGGAAAGATACAACGGCCGAGATGGGGATAAACGACTCGGTGTGGTGCTGGCCTGTTGTACATGTCTATGGTGTACCTGTGTGCTCACAGGACCGGTGATTTGCGGATACCGGACAGTTTGACCTCCACCCCGGGATTGTGGATATCGGCCCATAAAACTGCCGGTTCGGAAGTTGATTCGTCCCAACTCACCTACATCTACACAGTCGTCAGATAACAAATTCAAGTCATCCGAATTACCTGTCGGGAGCGAACTAAATGTGGTTGCACCTAATCCATGACCGGAAGGCTTCCATTCCACTCGAGAAATGGCTTGACCTCCAGACTTGGACTTGTCACTATCCGAGGGTGAGAGATCGGAACTTCGGTTTCGTTGAATATGTTTAAACACAACAGGGCCCTGGGTATGCGCAATCGGTCGACCGTTTGACACTGGGGGTGGAGGATCCAAACGTGTTGACCATTTGCTACATCCAGGTGGCGGGGGTGGTGATTCATCTGGGGCACTGGCCACACGATGACGAGTTTGAGGGGTTGTGGAAGGACTGGTGGTTCTCGGTGGAGGCCCCTTTAAACTAGAGACTCTAGGTGGGACTGTAACTACCTGTGATTTGCCCCAATCATCATCTTTTGTTAGGTGTTGGTAATTTTGTTGCTGCTGATGCGCATGGGGATATTGTTGATGATGATGATTCGGTTGTTTACCGGGGCCCATCTCTTCACTCTCAAATGGTAAACCCCGAGTAGACGGGTCAGAGCATCGACGTTCACGTAAACTCGTCGAACTGTTCGATTGCGATTTGGTCGAATGTCCACTGTTGGAACGCTTCAGTTTAGACCAAGTGGACCGCAAGTGTAAACTGGCTGTCCGAATCAGTGATGAGGCGAGCTCGCTCGGATTCGATTTGGTAGCCGAGTCGGGAGTGGGCACAGTTTTGTATTTCTCATTCACATTTGTCAGTGAATTGGACACTTTGGCATCAGTTCCGCCTTGTTTGTGGTGATGTTGTTTGAGTTGTCTAGGGGTGGTGCGACGTAAGTCGAGAATTTTGGGTTTCTCGCGTCCTGGGGAAATCTGTTTGGGGATGGGGGTGGGGGTGGTTAAATTGAAAGAAGAGGCGTGAAAAGAAAAGCTCGGGAGAGAGAAAACGTATTGTGGGTTTGTACCTTCTGTTTGTATTGGGTTCAACCTATATGAATGAAGGAAAGGAAAATGTTTCCGCACTGGGAACATACGTGTACAAACAAGATATCCTGCAACACTAGAGGCAGTCCGTTAGTTGGCAGTAACAACCTGATTAAAGAGTGTAACCGGACACCAAAAACAGGAGAATAGCGTCCGGCTTTTGTCTGCCCAACCACCGTCCTCATGCAGGCAAACTCCGTTAATTCATCATGTTTACCGAATCAGTACTTACGAAGGTGTTCTCGAGAAAAATCCAGGTTGCACCCCAAACACACCCCATTTACACCTAACTAACTAAATAATTGCCATCCTCACTTCAACCATACATGTGCCCGAACCTCGAAATACACATCACTCATGGTGGCTTAAATTTCTCGGTTGCTCTATATTTCAAATCAGTGGTTTTAACTTTTCAGTTGTGTGGCTACTGAACAATACTCATTCACCTCTGTGCAAAAATCAATTCACATTTCTTTTACAGCTACTTGTGAGTAGTGGTGTAGAATAAATGTTATTATTCTGAAGGATACATTTGAACAAACATGAACTACGGAGCGACTCAATCCCAGTGTGAGGTGATTGACAGTGCTATCACACTCCTTCCATGGGGTGGATCTTAAATGCAAATCTCAGACGGGACGGTAAATATGCGCTACTGATGAGCTCTCCTGAGAACGACCCTCGAGTCTGGTGCTTCCCCAGTGCGCGGGGGATTGGACGAACTGAAGATTGTACGTGAAGGTGAAGTGTGTAGGGTGGTCAGTTCAGATCAAAGAAAATCAACTGTTTGAATTGCATTTCAACATGAAGGTATGCAGTACACGAAATATTTGTAGTGCAAATTCTCGTTTTTAGTTTTTCATCTATCTAACAAGGCATGCACATGCATGCACATTGTGTTACTTTCGAATAGAATCAAAGATATAAAGGTTTATTTACTCGTCGAAACGGTTTAAAACCTAGGATTAAGTATTATGGTGAGAAAACTCTACCTGAGTAAAATAGTTAGTTGTTGCTCTTGGCACCCAGGCAAATGGTATCGTCAACAGGAACGAAATTAATTGCATATGCCACAAAAGCAATCAACTGCTCTCACTTAAAAGCTTATCCATATTCGATCTGGACGTTCTCATTCGACTTTAAACTCCACTCCTGAGCTCTCTGGTCTGAAAGATAGGGCGAATTGGAGGCTCATGCTTTTCCATTTTGCTATTTGAGGAGACTAATAATTTCGGTTGACTTTTCAGTATCCGATCGAAGAGGCTTTCAAAACCCTATTTATAAAACCTAGCTTCGAGGTCTTCTTCCAAGGCTCACCTCTGTAATTTACCCCATTTCCGAACCCATGAATTATAGGTGATCATAGAGCCGATGCTATCAGAGTGACAAATGAAGAACAGCTATTTGAGATGTGAAAAGTTTCACTGTCTCCACTTGTTATTCAAAAAAAAGCATTTAAAAGACTGGGCCAAATAAATGGATAGGAATAGCAGGACGAATATGCGCTTGATGGATAATTTGACTTCTTTATGCGACCATTGGGCACATTCCACTGCAACATTAGGATGTCTGGACGAGCTATTCTGAACACTTTTAACTGAGTGTCTCCATTTTCCCTCTTCTTCTATTTACTCCTAATTGTAATCCATTTAATAGAATACAACAGAGAAATAAAAGGAACCCATAAAGTGTCGGAGACAAATACTTTTGAAACAGTACGAATCAAACATCCTGATGCGGATCTTCTGTTGCGACGGTTACGATATTGCTCCCGTGAAAGCGGATGTCCAGCTTTGTGTGTGTGCTTTCATTTCACTCACGAGTATCATCAGTTTATGAAGAAGGTTTTCGCTTACGGAGCAAAAGGAGTGTTCACTGAGATGCGCAGAAGTGCCGTACCGTATCAAGTTCCGTCATTAATGCGAATCCACTCAATAGTGAACCCGGGAACTCACAGGTAGAAAAGACAAGCATGTTACCCACTTGACCACCGAGTATCACCACTCTGGAGATGAGGGGTTTCTGTCACCTACCAATCTAAACCTGGTTCGAACCGCACACATACCTAAATTGTGTGTGCAACAAAGTTATCGAGTTAGTCTTTTCAGCTTACCGGTTGTGAATGCTTCGTGGTCACTGTTGCACATGGACGTTCAGTCATCGAGGGGTCCGCCTCGACCGACGCACGTTGCATTCCTGTGGTCGTGGCTTCCTGCTTGTTCAATTTTTTCGTCCGTGGTAATGTGAGGTCCGGATCGTGCTCAAGTTGTGCCAATGGTGCCAATGCCCAGGGATGTCGCAAAGTAGGGGACTGTGTCTTCTGTGCCTTGTCGTGTTGCTCTTGTTGTGTGGAACTGCAAAGCAATAGTTATTATTGTTGCAGTGGTGCCGAGAAGTAAATGAGAATGCACACTATGAGTAGATCAAATTTGTAAGGCAAACATAGCTGAAGCATTGAATAACGTTATTCGGTCTTTGGAGTGGTTTAGAGTTTGTTCACTTTAAAAGAGGCTCATTCGCGAAGGGTTCAAACGATAACACCTGAACGCCGATAACAAGGCAATTTCTTCATTTTTTACAGAAGAAAGAAAGCGAAACTTGAGTAGTTTTAATCAGCTAGGTGTAGCGCATACAAAACGAAAGAACAAACGGAAAAAATAAAGAATGGCAAGATATGACGGATGAAAAAGTGCATTTGCTTAGGATTAGGGAAACCCATGAATTTTATCTGTGGGTGAGGAATCGCAATGAAAATTTTCAATGATGTCAGTTCGCGGTTCTCCTGTTTCAACTCATTCAGTCTGAATTGAATAAGAATGCTAGATCAAGCAGTCGCTGATTATCGCCGTACTGTATTGCATTCAAATAACTTATGCAAGCCTTCAGGTTAGCGTTTTAATTAACACAGTGCTTCGACTGACCATATACACTATCAGTCAAAAGAATTGGGAACCTGGTTCCACCCAAACAATTCGTGCATAAGTCCACATAATGACATAGAGCTCTGCGAACCATTCCCATAATAGAGCGAGATGCAAACGGTGAGCGGTTCTCAGTTGAACTCTACTTACATTCGTCACTTGAGATTGCCTCTCTGAAATCCCTTGGTTACCTCACTAACTTTGAATCAAGATCAAGCCTTTCTCAGTTAAGAACGTAAACCAAAATGCCTGTCGACCAAGTGTTATCTGTATGCCAGTTGGCCACACAAGCCATGGTGGCTCCGTCGATAAAACTACCTCATTCTTCAAATGAAACTCAAAACGTCCCACACTTTAATAGAACCCCGCCAGGTCACAATGTCAATAAACTCACTCTGTTTGTGTATGCCCCTTTGATCGCTAGACTTTCCTCATTTAGTCTATTTGTAACTGAAACTTTGCTTCACTGTTATTCACAAAAAAACAAATGCTATCAACAAACAGAATTGATTTGACCATCAGTTTCACATGCTCTCATTCAGCTGGAAGCGCACATTTATGCGGTCATGTCAAACAAACAGGCACGGGTTGAAATGAATCATTTGAACAAGGTGGTGGTTTGCGTGAATAAATGGATAAAGTCAAAAAATGGCTCACATCTCCCCATCGTGATTCTTGCTAGTCACGTTAACACGTTATCCACTCGAGGTGAATCTTTCGATCTCAGTCACTTATCCGAAAAGCCTGTACCGACCGTGGTACCCGCAGACCACAGCTGTCGAACACTCGTCTTAGTGTACGTCCTGAACCGTGAAGCTCAAAGCAACCCCTTCGCACATATCAAAGTATTCTCCGTGCTAACCATCTGCTTGTACCAGAAGACTGACCATTGCCAGAAAAACTAATATATACACTGGTTTCTTCGCATCCCTTTATCAACCTGTTCTGTTCAGGGCTTTTGATGTCCATACAGTGGGCTTCTGAGCTCTCCAATTGCAGCTCTCGCATTCCAATTCGAACTGAGACCACTGGGATGCCAATTGTTGTTTATTTTAGTACTTGAATGAATTTCGACTGACGCGCGTGTGTATGGCGCACGAACATGAGTGAAGGTCACCCGAGTACCGCAAATGAAAACCTGGTGGTCTGACTCTATCACGTTCAACTTTGGGAATCGGCACGAGGTAACCCGCCGCTTCTTTCGTGCCTAACCAAATTGATTTTTCTGTCCACTCCACTATGAAAGTCGCAAACAGCATCATCAGACCAAATTGCACATTTGGCCAACGATGTTTGTCTTTGTAAAGTACGATTCAATCATTCTATATTCTGCAAACGCATACAGACAGGCTGCATCAAATGATACCATACAACTACAAAACTCAGCGTTAGCCTGTGAAGGTTACTTTTGAGAATCAGTGCCAACCAACAGATTTATGATTAGTTATATGGTATTTAATTGCTCCATTAGGCACTTGATGACGGTATACACGAAATCAAATGATACAATCTCCACCTACTACCACCACCCCCTCATTTCCTCACTCATCTCCATTCTCTTCGCGTACACATTTCACGCGCAACAATCAGCACAGTCTTATTAGATCATTTCATTGAGGTTATTTTTCTTCGTTCACTCCCAATGTGCATAACCTTTAAACGTATTGCATTTGATCAGTCGGTCTGGCATAGAAGCTTGTTGGCTAATTTGCTGATTGGAGCAGTTAGAGAAACCCTCATAAAATTATTTCACCGACAGAACGGAAGTCAAAATGTCAGGGTTTACGGGAAGCGGAACGGCTACGCACTCATGATGATATTTTGAAGTTTCGGAGACAGAAATCCAATCACAACAATGCATAGCATGAGGGGGATTTAGATTGCCAATTACTAATGCCGGAAATTGATACTTTTTCGATGGTCGAGGATTGATTTTAATCACTCCGGGGCTACAGGTTTCATCTCAATGGACACAATTTTCGGTTCTGGTAAGTATTTGCCCATCTTTCATTACCAAAAGCTAATTATCGACGATTATTTTGATATATAATGTGGAAAGAAAATACAAATAAATAAATAAAACCATAAATCAACCAATTGAACATGTCAATGGCAAAATGTTTCACAAAAGAAGCCGATGGATCTTCCTAAACAGAAGCAATGCGCTCTGTGCCGATCAACATTGAAAAAAAACCTGGTTCGTTTTCTAAGCATGAATGCTGTCACGCCCACGCACGCACACGGGTCACATAGGTCACACACACACACACACACACACACACACACACACCACACCACACATACACACACAATTGACCTCACTTTCGGTCAGACTTAAGTTACAGGTCTATTTCCGTGCCCCTCCTCTACTTGCCCTATCCATGACTTATTGTTTCAGATTATTGATCTTGCGACGTGAACCTATCGCCCTCCGGATGGAATGGTTGACTGACGACCTAGCAAAATGCCGACGCGGATGTGGTTGCCTCGCTATCTCGCCAGGCCCACCTACCGCCGAGCAAATGCACTACACTAAGACGTATACGCGCATGCGTGTACACGTGTGCACATCCATAAGAAGCGCCTACGCGTGCCGGGCCTCCCGCGAACGGGGACCCGACAGGGTGTATCTCGTGTGACATAACGGACGCGTCAACAATCGCCTCGAACTTTGCTTTTCACCCTACATGAACGTATGTGTGGCTGCACGCGACGTGGATTGAGTGGGCGCGTTCAGGCCCAGTTCGTATCCATATCTGCACGTAGACACACACACACACAAACATGTATGTATTGCTTCGGTCACCGGCGTACACGGAACAGAACTAATCACTCACTCATTCCCCAAATCGCCTGCCCACGAGCCCGCGCTCTGCAATCTACTATTACTACTACTATTACCGGTTCTGATGGTTTGTAACTTCCGCTCCGCAATGTCCACTGTTCCTATTGCCTGCCAAAATTGACTTGCACAGAACACCAGCTACACGAGATGCAACCCTGATACTGGGCTCTGCCTGAACGGCCAATTTCGGTAATCATTTCTCCTAGAATATGGTAGTTCGATTTGCTCGGTTTCATAGCAGAAGATTAATGACAGAAAAGAAACCAGAATGATATGAACGATAGTTGGATAAGTCAGAACTGTTGTAAACATGAAGGTTTTACGAGAAAGGCTATACGAAAATGTTCTACTTAGCCCACAGATAATTAAGAATTACAGTACCATCGGATTATTGTTGATATTCATGTCAGCATATGAAAAGCCTAAATCAATTCGAATTCACTAATCTGTTCACGAGTGAGTGGAAATATCGAGCGGATATGGCGAAAGAAGTCGAAAGCGTTCATTTGCAATATACGTCCAAGATCATCTCACTGTATCGTCCGTAAATTCTCACGGTAGACCGGGCGATTATTTATATAACGTTAAATGGGCACCCAGCTTTCCACGATAACTATCACAACTGTTTTCGCAAAGAAAATTACAATTTTTATGACTCCTGAAGGAGTGTAAAATCAATCATGAAATAAAAACTCGACTAACGAATCACGCAAACTATACACAGAGATTCGATAGGTCAACACAATATGGATACCCGACCATTCGCATGAAGCGTACGGTTACAACCGAAGGGGCGGTAAGAAATCATCAATTAACAACATTTTTCCTGGTTTCAACTGGTTATCAGTTATAACTGTGGAACACGCAAAGTCAAATCCACGGATTAGCAATCACTACAAAATGTTGTCTTCACTATTTTTGATTATCAATACCAGTCAAGAATTGGCGGTGTTCACATACTACTGTACGGATCCTTTGGGTCCAGTGGATAAATCAAAGAATTCTGGGGAATATCTGGTATTTTTCTACTTGAAGGGGGTGGAGGACTGGAGATGCGAACCTCTGGGGTTCAGATTCGTAAACACTACCTTGATCTACACGTTCGATCATTAATACCATAAGCTAATGGTTGTATGAAATGAAAGCTTTTTCTGCAACGTTCGAGCGAACTCACAAACCATTCAGCGTGTGCTTTCCGACCTGCCATGAAAATTCATGAGTTACATCCATAATACTACCACTAGTACCCGAACACGTCTAAGAATAAATTGAAAGCTAACAAGCACTGTACACCTGTTGACCCGATAGGGTCTCTTCAACACTGAGAATCCATCCACCCCACCGCAGAACCGTACACCTAGAAAAGCAAGCATACTACCAACTTGATGCGCTTGGGATGAGCGAGGTGCGAGTTCTGCAACAAGCTCACAAAGATGAATTGTACTATATCATGTAAAGACAAAGTGAAATGCAGTCTGCTCAGCTACCCCGGGGTGGCCAATTGGGTAGCATGCTTACACTCTACCTGTGAGATCCCGTTTCAATTTCCAGCCATGTTGATGGATTACCGTTGCTGATGAGACTCAATCAGGTCGAAACAACTGTCAAGTGCTTCCTAGGTTTCAGTTCACGCTTCATTTGTTCTATGCACTACGAAATACCCCATATAATTAAATAAAATCCTCCATTTCTCTCAAGTAATACCTAAGAATGTTATTCGTGGTGGCTAAGGCTTAAATAGAATGAATCCACTTCTATAGTTCAATGGTTGCCCTTCTAGGGAAGGCTCAGTACTCAGTAGACTATGTTTTGATGATTTTTGGTCTTACTCGCTTGCAGCGGTATGGCTTAAATTTACGCGTTGAGGCTAAAGGACCAAGGGTCGTGGCTAAGGAATTGCGGGCTTTAGCAAAGGCTTAATGAAAACCCATTTTTGAAATGGTTTTCCAGTTAATTCAAACTACCTCTTTGAAATAATCCTCGTTGGACATTTGCATTTTGCAGAAGCTATCTACCTGCAAAATTGCATTTTCCACTCTAAATCCCTAGAAACAATGGTACCACAACAGTTGAATGTAATTCATTAAGTCTTGTACCCAATACTAAAGGTGTATGAGGCATTTCAAAGAAAGGGACCTCTGCCACTATCTTCTATCCCGTACCAACTCTGTCTATCTGGACCCAAGCTTAACGATAAGAAATCGATGAGAATAGGGGCTGCTTTCTCGTGTGATATGTTCGATCATTTAACGTGGTCAAGCTTCGTGTATGTTTTTGAGAACCAACGAATCCACTTCATCAGACTGTGTCCAGTCACACTGACCAGACACAAAAACGCTTATGAAGGCGGCTGTTCAAATTTTCACTCCTTCTCGATCGTTATATCATCATCACCGACAATACCACATAGTTATAAACATTGACGTGAAAGAGTGCGGGTTTTCAGAACCTCATGGAGGGCAACTCTCCAATACTCACGGATCCAACAAGGGGTACACAGGAACAAACGTAATGCAGATAATACAGACCCGCGAGTTTGTATGCATGCACATATGTGCGTGTTGCTGTTGTGGAAAGTGAACTCCGGATTATACAAACGAATACAAGTACGCTTATGCTTGAACGCTAACGTCCAACTATGACATGTTTTATCCATCCTGTTTACATTTGACCCAAGACAACCCTGGAGTCAGTCATTCTCACTCGCCTGCATACACACTAGTCATCACATACACACAGATGGCACACAGATTTTTTAGTAGATGGGATTCTGTGCAATCGGGCGATGACATCCGAGAGGGTTTTATTATGCACTGCAATCGACTGACACGAAGATGGATCGTTTTTCGCGCGCGCGACAGCATGTGTGTGTTGTACTGACAAGTAAGTGACGGGATCTCAACCAGTACCCGTGTTGGGAGGGCCCGATTTCGAATGTGGAAATGAAATTCAAATCAAATCCGATTGGAAAATGATTAGACTATTGTTTATGCTGAAAGTCGGGGGATGGGATAGGTTTATGAATGCCTAGTTTGTACCATGACTAGAACTTTCACTGTAGTTCTACACGCGGACAGTGTTTAGCTCAACGGGTGAATGTGATGCGTTTATTGGATCGAAAATGATTCAAAATATCCGAGTGACTGATAATGGTCAATTAATTCAAGCTATTTTGAATGT